TCACTGCTCAAACCTCCCACCCAGCTTTGCCAGCCCAGCCTGGAAGCTCTCCAGACCTGGAGCTACTTGGAACTCCCTGTGATGATTATATCCAAGTGCACAGCAGCTCAGCAGTTCAGATAACCACATAGTGGTAACGAGAACTACTTATTCCATGTCAAAAGTAGAGAAAAATTATGGCTGGCTGTGGTGCATGTAAAAAAACCTACTCGAGGTGCTTCTGAGGAAGCATCTTATACCACCATGAAACACTTCCCTTCTTGTGAGAAGGCTTCTCCCAGTGGGACTCTCCAGAGGGATTTGCAGAGGTCGTATCTCCTGAACCCCTCAGGCAGCAAAGGAAAACCACAGAAGGATACAACACAGTCACAAAAAAGATATCTCTGAAACTTGCAATGACTGCAATCCATGCCAGTGTCTGGCTTTCATATATCTCAGAGTTGCTTATCTTTTCATTTAATGGATATGATAATTAAAGGACAGAAATAAGCAAATGTAACTGACAAAAAGAAACTGAGGATGCATCAGTAGCTGTGCAACAACAAACTCTGCCTCCCTCTCCCCTCTTTTATCCACTATGTCCGTCCTGTACTTTGGTCAAAGAAAAAGAGGATTTTACAAATCAGTAAAAGTCTTAAGAGTAATTTTAAATCTGGATCATTACAATATGATGTGTTTTTGGTATTTTTACTTCCACTGTACTTCCACTTTACTTCAGACACAGCCTGACCGATGGTCAAGACAGGCCTGAATTTCAACTAGGCTTCCACAGACTTCTGGATCTTGCTATCATGAAACTAAGGCTGGCCCTTGAAAACATACCAAGCTGAGATGCCATCACATGAAGTTTATGGAAGTTAAAGTAAAGGATGGTGGCTTGATCTATCTCTCACTGACACTGTGTCAGGAAATAGCCACTGCCATGCCTTGGCCCAGCTTTCTCTTGAAATGGTTCCTCTCTGAAAAGAAGTTTGGCATAAAACAAAATTGCAATCTTCAGACAAACATAAGGACCTAAGACTGCTATGAGTATTCCTGTGTCTCAACAGATACATAGAAGTTATTGCAATAGCATGAATGCTTTGTGTCCTACTAGAGGTACCTGTAGCTCCCACTTCAAGAGATGCAGGACCACAGCTCTGTGCAAAATGCTCTTTTTATTAAGAGCAAAAGAACTGTTTGCCAGTCTGACTGATTACAACTCCTTCTCCCTCCCCATGGCAACTTCCCTATTAGTAGCATCACTCAATATGTTCTCTCTCAGTTTAAAAGTCATCAGACATGGTAAATACATAGCTGCTTTGTTGTCTTGCCAGATGGAAAGTCACTCTTTTGTGAGGGAGATACTGAAATGCGTCTAGACTGACACAATTCATGTAACCCGGTACAGTCATCGAAGATGGTAACTTTGTGCCAAATGATGATGCAGCTCAGGTCTGAACAGTCAGTTTAGTTACAAAGTGTTTTGCCTGCCATGGCCCTTACCTAGTACTGCCAGATCCGTCCTGGCCAATCATTTTAATGCTTATAAGTGATTCTCTAAATACATAAACAAAATACAACCCTACAGAGACAGAAAAGATATTAGCAATTGGAAATACAAGGAGAGACTGCAGGAGGACCTCAACTGACAAAGCATTTCTAGCAAGGCCTAGGGAGAGGGAGAAGTTTCAGTCTTGCCGATTTGGCCATTTTTCACAGAATGCAAGAATTTACCGGAAGAAAAAATTAGTTACATCACCATTATCACCACCCTGCTAAAGCAAGGTGGAATTCTTCCTGCCTCTCTAATCCTTTCTGCCACCTCTAATGCATTCACCTGCATTAGTGCAAACCCTGGTATGTGCCTACTAAGTTACAAGCTCACATCAGTCATACACAGCTCTCCCTGCCCTGCCACAGCAGAGCAGAATATAACAGCAAGGAAAATAATGTTTTAAGATCTCCCTAAGAGACTGTGTCGTGTGTCTGATTTTCGGTATTCAACCAGACCCTCTCATAAAACTGGCTTCTGGTACAATCATCAAGGGTGTCAGTGCCAGGCCATGAGGCTACTGGGAACACATTTTTGCCCTCACAAGAATAAAGTATTTCCTGCCAACAAGCTTGTTTATTGATGTGTCAAACTCAAGAAAAAAGAGGCTTCATGTCTAACTGAACCACTCCATCATTCCACCAAGAAAAGAGAGAGGGGAAAATAAAACTGTTAAAGACTCTGGCAGAAAGTATTTATGTTTGGCTGGAACAGGCTCTAAATTAGTGAGCTCAGACTGCAATACCAGAAATTTATTAACCTAGATGTAATTTTTACAGCTCAGAACTTGCAGATAATTTATATTTCTACTAGTTAGCCCAGCTATCATGAAAAAGAAAAGTGATTTCTGTGAAAAGCTGGTAAGATGGGTTTTCATGCTGAAGGCTACTGTGGGAAACCCTGAGTTGTACTAGAACAAATACATTATGGAACAGTAGATGAAGAACTGCTCCTGCCTTGAATTTCTGGTGATGGGTACTACCAATGAAAACTTGATCAGCTTCACAACATGCTTTTGGATTCCAAATTTGCAGAAAAATCCACATGTGCAGAGAGAAGCCAGCCTATCTCTGTGGATGAGATTGTTCTGCTGCATGGCCATTTGCAGACTATGAACAAATAAATGTTTTCAAACTACATCAAAACCCAAAACTTAACTATGTCCTGCTGTTTTATTTGCATTTCACTCTGCTTCAATTAACGGAGAAGAACCTGACGATGTAGCAGCAACAGAGGACAGAATGAGAAAGCTGCAGAGGGGAGAGCTGCCAGGGCTTTAGTCTCTGTAAAGACAGGATGAGGAGGGGACAGGAAGCAGGGCTGCTGATTGATATTACATGCTCTGACAAACACAAAGACTCAAAAGCAGGTCCATTAATGCCTCTATCCTTGCATTTGCTGTTCCCTATACCAGTGTCTACTACTTGGAGAAACAAGAGAAATGCTGGATGTGTGCTCAAATTGTAACCAGCACTGAAACACTCATGAACATTGGCATTTCAACACTGCCTCTAAACCACAGAGAGTGATATGCACTTGTTTCGTAACCCCCTTCTGTCCCCTGGCAAACACAGACACTGGGCAAAATATTTTTATTTTGTATTCTGGTCCTACTTCTTTGGCAGGTGAGGAGGGTACTCAGGGTAGTCAGTAAGATCTCTCCTTGTTCACACATAGTGTCAGGACTTGTTTTCCCATGCAGGCAGGAAGAGCACTGAGGGATTGGCACATGCTAAGTGCATGGAGTTAAGTTTGCTTAATTCCTAAAGATATCACAACCACCTCAGACCACTCTGCACTGTACTAGTACTTGCAGTAAATTTCATTGTTATATTTGAGGGTCCACTTACCCAGAAGAGCAGTTAAGAACTCCTTATTTTAGGACAGCTGTGGCTAAACAGGGTGCAGTAAGCTTTCCCCAGGTGCTAGACAGATCTTGAGAGAAAGCTTCAGGGTGAGGAGGACTGAGCATTCAGCCTGATCTGGGTTGGCACACTGATTAGGGAGAAAAAAACTCTGTCCACAGAGCTTGAGGGAACTGCTTGAGCCCCACTGGCAGCAGCAATCGCATTTAGTACAGTTATACTTCCATTACACTGAGAGTCTTCACAATTTATGTACAGTTTAATCCGATTATTTTTCTTCCCCATTTCTGCCTGACAAACTGTACTTGCGAGGCCCCTGGCTGGAAACCCATGCTAATCAAGTTAAGGCCCAGTAGATAAAGCAAAGTTGTTTTCTCTGTGTTGTCAGCAAACCACATTTCATGACTGTACTCATGCCTCTGCTAACTAAGGTCATTGACATCTTCTAGAAATCCAGGAGCAAGTAACAAGAGCAAGAAAAAGCCCCATCTTGAGTGAAGACAGAAAATGCTGGTGGAGTAGCTCATACCAGGGCTGCAAAGTGGGGGTGTGGGGGAGGCCAAAGGCTCTATGAGATGTTTATGTAAATTACTTTTTTCATGAGTTTATCCACCTACACGCAAATGACAGTTTGGATTATTTTAACTGTGGAATTTCGTTCCCTGCATCATGAAAACTAAGTACTCAGCAACTGCCAGACTGCTAAGCAAATGATATGAAATGCATTGATTCTCCAGTGGTAATGATCTTACATTTTTACATAATGCCTTCCAGGCTTAAGAGACCATAGGCACTCTACGAACTGCACCTATGAAGAAAGCACCTCGGGAATTAAACATCAGCTGCCTGAAAGGACATGCCACCATTAAAGAGGGTGCAAACACCAGGAAAGCAAAACACACTCTTCCCAGCCTAAATCCTTAGTAGTGTTTTGAACAGGTTCTAAATGTAAGAACCAGATTAGATATTAGACAGTTATTCCTTGGAAAAGGTGGAACAAATACTGAAAAAACTATTGAAACAGTGAATGTCTTTGTCATGAAGTTTACCACATAGCTGGTGCAGCAAAAACTGCTGCACAAACAAATATCTAGCTAATGTATAACTGTACTGAAAGCTTAGGCTTAAAACCTGGCTGTTGATAAAAGCAGTTTGTCAAGACATCAATTTTCTCTCCTGTTGGAAAGCTAATGCTTCACACAATGTCATTTGTAATTGAACTGTGGCTCCACTTTTGTACTCAGGAGGAAAATGGAGCATCTGAGTCATCAAAATGCCTGTAATTCCCACTCCTGTAACTCCTTCCCAAGTTCTAACCTGTGACCAACCTTCTTAACCAAAGATCAGACTGCAGATCTTCACTAAAGGTTTTCTGTACGTACACAAGAAAAGTCATTATTTCTTGGCTGAAAACAATGACTACAGCCATTTTGAGGGTTTACTTTCTAAAATTCAACTGAATTTTAGAAAACCCCAAGGAGAATGGAGCTGAGCACCATGTGAAGACTTTCAGCAGCCAAAGAAAACAGCAAAGGCTCAGAAGTAAGCCTTGCCCAGGGCCTACAGGACAAGTGGTATCTGTAGTGAGGGAAGCTGCTTACCTTCTGAGTGCGTTTGTCAGCTCAGCAGTCAGTTCACTCTCGGTGTATGGTCTCAGCTCAGCAAGAGTTAACGGTGCTGCGGTGCCATCACTGCATTCCTGAGAAATGAGGAAAGGCCATCTAGTTCGAAACTACTTACCATCTTAACTGGAAATTCTGAAAACCACTTAGTTAACAGCTATTTGTAAAATGAATGTGAAATAAACAATATTACAGCAAGTGGCAGTGTATCAACATAGCAAGAAATTAACTAAACGGATTAACACTTCACAAATCCCCCTAAGTGTTTCCTAAACCACCACAGCTCACCAATTCTCCTAGTGTGCAAAACTGCTGGTGATTTCCCTGTATTTCTTTCAATATCACACTTGAAATAGAACTGCTGGGATCAAAAAATTCAGATGATGCATTGACAGAAACAAGTAAGAAAGACAGTTATACACTAGCTCTGGATTTTGTTTTTGAACACATTACAGAGGGTTATCTGGGGACACAGCACTAAAATAAGAGGACTATGGTTTTTCCAGGTGTCTATTTCTTAATGCAAATTAATACAGTAAATGCAGAAATCTGTTTATTTTGCATTATGCTAAGGGGAGAAAAGCCTTCATTCTCAAATTATTACACATTGACTTGGCCAAAGAGACTGCCATTACAATGCTCTAACTGCTTCAAAGGAATGAGAGCTATTGTTTTCAAATTCTATGTTTAGGGGAAGATGGCATTTTGCTTAGACTCCTTTCCTTCCACTGTTTCCTTGCAACAGGCAAGCCACACATTCAACCACAGCAACTTGTATGTTGGCAAGACTGGGCTTGTGGTAATCCTCAAAACAACCTTATTTTAGCCCAGGCTTAACAGCAATTCTGCAAAGTCCTTGTAAGTCACAGCAGGGAAGGAATCCCTTAACAACGGGAGAAGAGAGAAAAGATCTACATATAGACAAAAAAAGAATGATTAACATGCTAAAGACTGCTACAGGGAGGGGAGTGATATAATTAATCATGTTTACGACTTTGGAAACTCAGCTTGACTCCTGACCTTGCCCAGCTTGTCTTTGCTTCCACTGCTGGTTGAGCTAAGAGACCTCATTCTCTGCTCTTTTTGTTCCTCCACTTCAGACTTCAAGTGTTCAATGTGGACGAGGTAGGCCTGCTCCTGGGCCTCTCGAGTGCTCAGTTTCAATTCCAATGCCTTCTTTTCCTTCTCTAACAGGTAAAGCCGTGCCTTGAGCTCTGCCATCTCCTCCTGTTGAAGAAACATTATCAGCATGCTGATTCATGGGACTACATACCTAAGAGAAGAAGAGGTTAAACACAACTTTCATCCACTCCTATAACCTAGTGTTCTTTGCATGGAGAACACTATCAGCACCCACATGACCAAGCATATTTGTCAAAAGACTAGTACATCTTGAGTCTGAGTATGACGAGCTGTGCCACCTCTGTATCAGCCTCAGAAATAAGCTCATAGCAGCTAGTGTGGTGTTATCAAGGACTATCAAGGATCTGAGAGAATAGCCACAGGTGCTGAAATTTCTTGGGTTCCACTTTGCCCTTCAGAAATCACTGTCTTAAAACCAGGAGTGCATTACTTTCCTGTCAAAAACCTCCCTAAATTCCATATTTCAGTTTCTTATTGATACATAAAAATTTGTCTCATTAGAGTGGAAGGGGTTTGAGGGACTAGGACAGCACACACAGGTCACATATTCCCAACTCTGTAATACCAGCCTCTGTGGTAGAATGAGTTAAGTCAAAAAGGGCACCATCAGATGTCCATTTTTAATTTCTCTTCTCTAGATAGCCAGAATACCCAAATATACACACAACTTGAGTTTGACAAAATTGCACTCAATTATATTCTTCCATAAATATGATCCACAGGGGATGGACTCTGGTACTTCACAGAGAGATGCTCAATTCTGAGAGCTCATTCTTGTGTGCAATTCTTCTGCCACTTTGATGTTCATGACAGGGCTGTCACCTACTGTAACACAACAACTGCTATTTGGGGACAGACTTCTGTTTTAACATCTCTGTGACAGTGGCTGGGGAGAAGCTTAAGAGCAGGGCATGAGTGTAATGACCCTTCTTTCAGCACATGCTCCCAGCCTCCCATGTAAAGCAGCTGATGGATATCCTGAACCATAAGGATCTTTGTGTTTAAAAACACTTCACAAAAGTTTCTTCTAAAAAATGCCTAGTTATTTTCTGAACTGAGAAAAACCTAGTATCCACAAAAGCTTTAAAGAGATAGGACTAAAATATAATTTACATTATGTGCTAAACAACACCATCAAACAAACAGAAGACTGCCAAAACCAAAAAAAGACCCCAACCTAGAATCATGTTCTCACTGCCTTGTCCTAGGTCTCCTCATGGATGACTACTAAGTTAATGCAGATGTTTTCTGTATTACCATTCAGTTCTAGACTTGTTCACTGTGTAAACACTTCTGAAAAATAGAAGTTTCTTGTTCTGTGGCCAGCCTAGGAACAAGCCATTATTTCTATTTTTTTTAAAACAAACAAAAAATATTCTAATAAAAAAAATATCAGAGGTATCTTACCTTATCCTTCAAAAATAATCCTCTTTGTATTTTAGCCATTATTAACCAAGGTTATACAAACACAAATTTAGACTAACTTTTCATGTAGCAGAGAATCTACACCGCCACCAAAAATTTGCCTCCTGGATTAAGTGTAAGCAGTGCACACAGGTGTATCACAGTTACAACCATCAGCTTATTCAGAATCACCAACAATGTAAAAAATAAAATCCATACCTTAAAAACCCTGGGGCTTGGAAAGGTCTGTATGAGCTTTAAAGTCATTGATTTATTCATCTACTTGTTGTGAACTGAAGGCTAGAAGCACAACCAGTTTCATTCAATGTGGTTTATACAAATTTAATTGTTAGGTAAACTTACCATTTATTTCCTTTGTCAACAGTAAATACATAAATAATACTGATAAATAATGATAGGGATATTTAGTTACAGGAGTTGAACTGGATGGTCTGATATACTCAAGTGTATGAATTTAGTTTCTTAAGCCTCTATTTCTAATACCATTAATCTACTTAGCCAGCTTAGTGAAGGCTAAGAAGTAATTTGAACAGAGTATTTTGACACTTACATGAATAAAAGATACTCTTGATAGAGGGCTATCTATATGGGATGAGGGTTATGACAGATGTTCCCTGGCTGGAAGCTGAAACTAGGCAAATTCAGCGTAAAATGAGAGACATCTATTTCCTAAAATAAAAAAGTGAATTTAACCACTACAACAATGAATCTGTGGAACTGATATTTCTCACCTCCTAGAATTTTTAACTTATTTTAAGCTATTTGAAGTTATTTTAATTTTAACATATTCAAGCTCAAAATAAATTTGAGGATCAACGGTTAACTCCTTTGTTTATGAAGACAGTAAGTTTAAATCATCATATATGAATTCACCAGTTTGCATTCTGTTCCAGAAGACATATCGTGCACTTCCCATATGTTTTGTTTTGTCATCTCAAAACAATGTGACTTGGAAGTAGAGAAGCAAAGACAAAGCAGAGGAAAAAGCAGGGGAAAAGTGGAAAAACTGTCAGCCAGTGTCTTACAGAGGCTTGCGGGGAAGGAACAGGAAGGAAAAGTTGAAGTTAAAAATTAAAACTGCAGGCAGTTGAGGACAGTGGTATAGACATATACAATCTGTGAGGCAGGGTGGCAACAGCCATCTCTTATATGGGAAAATTCAAGGAGTTCAGGTTTAGTTAGAGAGTTAGTCTTCACACATGCAGCAATTTTTCCCATGAAAATATGTTTTCTAAAGATAGCATCTAAATTTAATTTAAGTTAAAATGCCACCTTTGTATATTTACTATACCCCTTTTCTTCTAATTACAGGTTGCTGTGAAACATCTTGCAGTTTAACACACCTGATTCTTCAGAGTGTGTGCCTAAAGCATGAGCAGCATTTACAAAATGAAACCATGAAGGAGCAGGTAGCAAGTGGTCACTCTTCCAGATGACTGCAGAACACTTAAATAATCCATGTAAATTCACAAGCTTCAACTATAGCAGTTATTTCAGGACTAATTAATTGAATATTGAGGAATATTTTGTATTTGTGGTCATATTGTAATCCTGAATTTGGGTGAAAATTTGAATGAAATTTAAAAACTTTTGACTCAATATAATCAGAAACACCATGGAACTTTCAAAATCCACATTTGTATCGGATGTGGTCATGTCAGAAGAATAAAACAGCAAAGAACTCTAACGTGGCAAGAAGCTCTGAAAGTCATAAAAAGTCAGGACCCTAGGACGATCACAGTACCCAAAGTGGCATCTGCCAGCCTTCAGAGGTAAAACAAACATCAGAGCAGATAAATGTCATGCTCTAGTTAACTGCATTTTACTATATAAATCTATAAGGGTGTGAACTGCTGTAACAAAGGTGAATAACGGGATCCGGGATTCTTAACATTTTCCACAAAGAGACTGTAGTCTCAAAGCACTTTATGAGCAACATTATCAACACCTGTACACAAAGGAGCAAAAATAACCAGTGTAGAAAGCTGAGACTTCTTATCTAGATTAAGTCCTTTGAAATGCAGAAATGCTGTAAACCAAGAATTATTTACAGCCATCAGAAGTAATCTCCTTGCTAACTGGGGCGTGACAACAACTGACCTCAAAGCAAGACCACTGAATGATGACAAACCACAGACGACAATATATTTGGAAACATGGTTAATTATTGCTTGAAGCAAAGAATTGGATTTTACAGAAGTACTGGCAGACCACTGTGTCTTACGCTCTGGACCAGTAAAAAAAAAATAAACACGGCAACAGAGAAACCACCCTCAAACTATCTTTTTAATCAATAATGAAGAACTACTGGTGTAAAGGCATTTTCAGACTGATGTAGAGATCAGTTTTTACCAGGAGTCATAAATGGAAGGTGCCAAAAGATGCAGAAGAGATTCCAATACAGACAGAAGTTTTGGGAAGACAGCACAGACCTTAAGACCCAGCAGTGCACAAAATTATTGAGTAGCTCAGTCCAGCTGTATCATCCTTGCTAAGAATGCAAGGGAGGGAAAAAATTAAAAGCTGATACACAATGAAGTCTTCTGCAGCACGGATGAGTCCATCTGCTTCAAGTTAAATGAAATACCGTAAGGAAATTTAAATCCTCCATTTGTCTCAGAAGTACGCAGATGCATATGCTATTCTGTATGAGGTAGATATTTCAAATAACAGACACAAAAAACGTACTCAGAAAGCCAATACATCCATGAGTCCTGACTTTAGGTTCAACTATGTTATATTTTGCTAAACATATGAGCGAGGTGTAATGTAGACCTGAGCAACAATCATGGATGCTAAAAAGGTAACACATTCTCTGGCAACCAAAGCACACAGAGTGTAGCTGTGCCTTTTCAATGCTTTATGCAGAGAAGAAAGGCAGGAGTTTTCAATTTCTGAGCAGAAGATCATGAACCAACAAATGCATTCCAAGCTTTGACAAACTTGAGTTCTCACAACGTCTCTTTCAGAATCCTAAGGTGTTCCTGCATTGTGTATTCCAGCAAAGTACAAGAAATTACAATGAATAACAGTACTGTCAGTTTCTCTGTACTGGAAAAGACTGAAGGTGACTTCAGCCACCTATTTTAAACGTGTATCTATTCTGTTTGCAATGCACACAACCAAGAAGAAAGATTTCTTCTACCAGGGGCAATTCCTGCAGTGAAAACCCAGTGTGATAGGTCCAACCAAAAGTTATGAATGGATGCAATATGTCAAAAACAAGGCAGAAGATTGTTGAGTGAACAAAAGGATTACCAGCACTCCAAACTGTACCAGAAATTATGATATGCAACTGCTGGTGTTTCTGCCAGTCAGGGATTGCAAGGCCACTAATCACAAGGGATAGCTCTGCAGTTTGCCTTCACCAACCAGTTTAAAGATAGAGGTAAGAATGGTGTACAAGTAGATTTCAGGGAAGATCTGGACACAGAAGATGAGAAGGAAGTGTGATATCTGCAATACACATCTAATTATCTACGTGGCTTCCAGTACATCTTGCATGTTTTAGTTATGGGGAATATCTTTCCTGTGGCCACGACATATTCAAACAAGTAACATAACTTTAAATCTCCGACAGGTAACAAGTAATCTTTCTTCTGAACTGCAAATAATGAATGCATTATTGCAAAATTGTATTTGTTATCATGGAAAGGCAGCACCACTAAGAATAAAAATCTATAGCTTTAGAAGTTTATGAAAATATTAGGATTTGCTGTCCCACTTGATAACATCACCTGACATGTCTGCCATTACTTGACTAAAATATTACTTGCTAAAATGCAGAAATTAAACTTCTTTAAACTTATCCAAACCAGACAAGTTCTGAATGCATACATACAGAATTGCTTACTTGTATTGCCTTTGATATGTTCCTATGTTTTAGTTCATCTCTCAAAGTCAATGCAGAAGACAGACATAAAATGATACCAGCTCTATTCCTGGTCAACAAAAGTCAGTTTTTCTAGATCACATGTTTAGAATTGGACATATAAACCAGAGCTTTCTCCAAAACCCTGTAACTGCAGTGATTACACATCCTACTCTTTGCTCAGACTTTGAGCTACAGATTGCAACACAGTGCCTAGAACAGATCAGGACTTATGACCAACTGTCAGAGAGCATTAAGGGTAACACCTTCTGACAGACCATTCTTCCTCCCACAGCTGTATTAAAGGGAGGTGAATTTGTTCTGCTTCAGTTCACAAATATTCATGATGCACATTTGCAAGTGAAGTGCACACTTGTAAGTGAAGTAATCAACTGTCTCTTGGGAAGTGCTGTATCATGCTTTTGGTCACCCCTGAGTAACTCAGCTGCCATACCTCTCCAACGGAGCATCTGGTTTGCCAAGAAGAGCATTCTAAGTTTTGATCCACAGAAGAAGTTCCTGCCTAATTTAAAACACACATAGCTCATCACTGCTAATGCACTACCTTCTGTCACTTTGTGACTACCAGATTTTTAGTCCAGATTTTGTGTTTCAACAAAGTAACCCTTTATTTCCCAGTGATCTCTATCCAAGCGTCCCATGTGTGTCTGAGCATGTTCTGGAGCACAGAGGCGTTGTCAGCAATGCATTTAGCCTCTTGGTTACAAGTAAAATACCTTCATTGCCATAAGTTCCTGCATCAGGACTGCATTTTCCAGGTCTAGCCTCTGGCTGTCTCCACGCGGCTTAACGTCATAACTAAGGGGATCAATGTGGATGCTTTCCAGCTCCAGCATTGTCAGTTTCACTGCTGCCCTGTCATTTTTCAACTGCTGGATGTAATCCTTCAGCCGCTGCTCATCCTCCTTTGTAAATTCTGTATCGCAGCTGCTTGCAGTTGAGCTGGTAGTACTGGAAAGAGAGAGCATGGTATTAGAAAAAACAACATTTGGAACAAAATCTCAATTTTTACATCAAATACTCTCCCAGTACTTCACCAAAACATCTCAGTCTTACTTAAAAGTTCACAGAAAGGACACACATAGTAGCATGGACTGGACATTGCAATGTTCAGAAGATGCAAAGGGGTGTGACAAATTCAAAACAGAAATTAATTCTCTAAGCTGCATGAGAAAATTGAATCATGCGACAACTTCTCTGCAAAGCCAGATATTTAGTGATGTGGAACCGAATTACTTTTTCTGAAGCAGTGTCTTCTGGAAAAAGCCCTTTTTAAAATTTAAAAAAAAAAAAAAAAAAGCTTCTTAAGATTTCTTAGCAATAACCTAGCACAGCAAGTTTCTCTCTGGTGCTCTGATAATGAGTCTTCATCTTCTTTGGGAAGAAACATCTGCTAAAAAAAAAAGAATCAGCCCAGACCTGATTTACCTCTGCTGATGGTCAGTTATCTCCTCAGATATTTTAATGGATACTTTCAGGAATCAACCTGAGCAAAATTCCACTGGCAGATGCCAGGAGATAGCATCTTTCAGTTTATTTTAAGGTGTACTCCTCAGTATACTGGCTTTCCTTCAGGGTTGGAGGATTTTAAAGCCAACCCACAGTTAGCAGGACTTTTAATAAAAAGTCATAATAAAAGACTTGGTGAATCCTCTCCTGTCTACAGGCACCAAAAAAATGTCGGCACATTACTCTGCCCCACAGATGTTTACACAGAGATTGTGGAAAGGGAGGATAATGGTGCTAAGAATTAGAGCAGTGGTGGCTCAGTGCTGCCCACCCACCTACGTGCATGCCAGTGCTGCAGGAGGCTGAGACTGATACAGCTGTAGCATTCCAGGGCTGAATATAGCTGCAATAACACTAAAAGGAAAATAAAATGCCATGTTGTTTCACTCAAAGCTGCCTGCTGTCTCCTGAGGTCCTGTAATCAGCTGCCGGGTGAGGGATAAGTCATCCATTAACCGTGCCTGTCTGGAATGCTAGATGATCTCAGTTATTAGCAGGGGAATAAATCACTTTCTGTATCAAATTGCACTGCTGTTCAACATTTTTGTACTATGAAAAAAAGTCCCACCCACCACATGCTGTGAGATCCAGGGTGACGTCCTAAAATACTGTGAATGTGAAAAAGGGGGAAGCCTATCAAGATAGTCTTGATTTTTCTCTTTTGGTTGTACTTCAGCTAATGCCACATTGTTTTTAAAGTGCTTCAAATAATTGCCAATCTTCCCACAAATTCCAAGCACAGCCTTGGAGAAGATGGAGAATTGGCAGGTCTAAAAAGATTTCTCAAAATCCTTCCCTCTCATGAAATATCACATTACAGCTCTTTATTATAGTCCTCTGTCAATTTCACATTATTCCTTCCTTTTCTGAGGGATAAGAGGTGCCTGCCACAACTGTAGATTGGTCTTTGCTTTTGTTTTCATCCATTTCCATTAGCGGTGAAGCTAAAAGTGCTCTTTACCTACCTGCTTTACTGAACCTGAGGATATCTTACTGAAGTAGATATTGATATAAAAATTAAGAGGATAGACAATGTGAAAAATAGGTAATTCTGTACTGAAGTCATGTTGCAAGTTTCCTCAGCACCAAAAGACAGCAATTGCACAGCTTTTCTGGATTAAATGTAAAACAGCTGTTGCTGGAGTAAGGACAGCTTTTAAAGTCTACATAGGCTTCAAATCTCAGAGCACAAAGACCTCACCTCAGTTTTTGCTTGCAAAGGATAGAAAACCTAACTCTCCTGCTGAGGATGAAACCTGAGCAGAAAAATGCTGGAAGTCTATTGTTATGTTGAACTTGACCTCATACTCACTGGATAGTCACAGATTTTGGCCCTTAAAGACCCACAGCTATGCACATATATTTTAGGGGAGTGCAGTCCAACCTGAGGAAAGCAGTCTGGGCTGTTGCCAGGGATACTCAGGCTGCTTTTACTTCAGTCCTGGCTGCCTGCCTGCCTGCCTGCCTGCCTGTCTGCAGCCGAGTTGGCTCCTCTGGTGAATTGCTAGCAAGCTGCTCTTCTTCTTTTAATTTTTGTTTCCTTTTTTCTTTTTTTTTTTTTTTAAGAAGTTGAGGGGAGCTTAGCGAGGAACTTGTCTCAGCCAGCACACAAAGAGGTTAGAACCCTCCCTCTCCCCCACAGCATTTAGCAGCAAGCCCCCACCCAGAAGACTGGGAGCAGCTGGGCACAAAGCCCACTGTGGGCTGTTGTAAAAAGAGGCTGCACGATGAGGGACAGAAACAACACTGTAGTGTTTCTGATCTCCCATGGCAGCTCTTCCAGGGTTTGTTCCCCCTAAAGCCCCACCACACAGCTCTCCACAGCCACAATGTTAGTCCACTGCTGCTCTGCTTAAGGGATGATAGCTGGTATGCATATCATCCTGAATTTCAGATATTACTCTCCTTCTGACAGCAATCAGGACAAAAGAAAACATTTATAGGATAATACATCCATCCAAAAACCACAGGAAACTGTTGCAAAAGATGTGCAGTTTCTCATTTCTCCAGTGTGTAGGTAAGGACTGAGAAAGGATCACAATTTCATCACAGCTGGAGGGAATACAACATCAATCTGCTCACTCTCACTGCTATTGTATTCAGAACAAGCAAAGAGAAATACTCTTCACACTTGCTTCATCCCTCAAGTCTTTTGCAATGATGTCATGCCTAGATGATGTCAAATTAATTCTCATATACAATTTATGGAAAATATGTGGGCTGGTATAGCATAATGTGCAGTCTTATTTGCTGGCATGTGTCTGTGTGTATAAAATGCAAGCTTTCAACAGTGCTTGTCTGTGAGTAATTTCTGTGCACTACAAAAATTTGTCCACAAATCCCTATATGAACATCATTTTATCTGTTAAAAATCAAGTCAATAAATAAATAAGCAATTCAGCAATTGAGTGGATAATACAAAATTTGACAGAACTAAGATAACACTAAAGATAACGAAATTGCTTGAATGCCTGCACACAACCTAACACTTTAAAGAAAGCACTCGGTACACAGTATATACGTTCTTGAGATCTGGAACAGCACAATGCCAAAAGATATTAACTACCTGAGAAACCAACAAATATTTCAACCAGGCAAATGGCAAGCAAGTCTACTTGGCTAGAATTATAACCTTTGGTAAACTACCCTGCTTCCTTCTGAGACTGCTTCAGTGCAGCAATCGAGTGTTGAACAGATAACACTGAGATATCTCTTTGGATATTTCTAAAGAACTTATTTGCACTCTTCAGCCAAGATAATCTTGTCTGTTAGTGTCTTATCTGAAATCTGAGATAATTCTGATGAGTGATATATTCCTACAGCTGAGTGAGTGCAGACATTCTGTGACACTGCATAATCCTGAAAAGAACTGCCTCTGCATATAAGAGACCAGACTTCTCCCTCCCTGAATCCAGTTGTAAGCTTGGGCTTGCAAGCGTAGCAGAGAATAAAATACATCTTTTTCAGTCAGTGTTACAACTGGACTCCTTTTTTGATTCCTTTTAAAGGTGCAATCAGTTAAACCTTGTTGGCAATATATGATCTATAGTTATCTTCTGTCCATTTAAAATAATTACGACTTCCAACTACACTGCAAACTGATTTCTATTTTCAAAAACTGAATTGGCAACGTTATTGTAGTGCTGCTGCCGGTCTAATGAATTGAGATGCTCTTTCATTGCATATAATTTATTTTCATTTCAGTTGCTCCCTTTTACAGTCTTTAACCACTTGCCACCAGTGGCTCACCAAATGTTTGTTCTCAGTAATGTGTTCACTCATTTGACATTCAGAATCTCATTTGAAATTTCAAAGCTCAATATGGGTCAACAATTTCACTGTAAATCCATAGTCTACAGGATTTCCAACAACAAGAAGAACTACTCATTTGTCACAATTCTCAACAAAGGATAGTTTTCAACATCCCACTACTTCTTCAGTTGGTTTCAAAGGGAAAAGGTAGAAACACATATCGGTAACTAAAAGCCTGCAACACTCTGGCAACAAAACAGCCATGGTAAAAAATCGGTTTTGCAGATTCAAAGTATGTTTGAATCACGTATTGTAAAGATATTTTCATTTCAGTACAGTGGTCCCCAAATGGTGGTTCACACAGCACTCACTGGTGATGCCAGCTTGTTCAACTCCCCAGTCTTACAGAAATTCATTGAATCACAGAATATCCTGAGCTGGAAGAGACCCACAAGGATCATCAAAGTCCAACACTTAGCCCTGCACACAACAACCCCAAGAATCACACCATGTGCCTGATAGTATTGTCTAAACACTTCTTAAACTCTGTCAGGTTTGGTACTCTGATCACTGCCCTGGGGAGTCTGTTCCAGGGCCCAACCATGCTCTGAGTGAAAAACATGGGTAGAGTTCTTTAAGACAAATAAAATCATTAAGCCTCCAGAAACAGCTAGAAATCCACAGTCTGCTTTGCTATCTCTGCTTAGATTGCACTGTAATAAAAATGTAAAGGAAATGGAAACCACGAGCATCAAAGAACCACGGAGCGCTGGAGGTCTGTGACAACAGATGTCTGTCTGGAGTAACAGAGAGCTGAGTGACAAGAGAGCACACATGAATAAGTTGAGAGGGCTGGTGTCACAGGCAGGATAACTCCAAAAAGCCTGGAGAGAAACAATAAGGATCCAGAATGACAAGGAGAGGAAATTTAAAGACAAAATCTTCAATTCTTTAAACTTGAGATAGAGTATTTACTGACAGAGATCTGGACAGAAGGAAAGAGGATTTGTATTTTTTGGAGAAGCTGAAGTTTCAAAAATATTATCACTGATACATGTATGTTTAGGCCAAGACAAAATTACATTTGGTATGGCAGGAGGGAAGAGGGACAACAACGTATAAGTGATGATGAGTTCAGGGTGCCCATATGACAAATTCCTAACTTCTGTGTACCCTTTGGGTGAGTAACAGAAGCTTTTCTGTGTTATGTTCTACATATATCAAACCAGATAATAAGAGTTACCTTATTCAGTACAGTACCCTGCTCCATGCCAGAAAAAAATAGCCTACAATGATAATGGCTCAAGCTAAAATGTCTCTCTTGTGCACATGAACATTTACACTCACATTTTTACATTTCAAGACATAATTTATAGTGATGAAATTTGAAATCCTATGCCACTGTAAACATACTCTGATGAAACTTTAACTCCTCAGTCCACATGTGACATGTAAATATACACGCAGTGCCAGCTGGCTACCAAATGTTCATGGTGAACAATGTGCATAGACACAAATACAGATATATCCCTCTCTTATCCTCCCCCTCAAACCCCCAAAAATTATGTTAAAGAAAGCAAGGACTATAGAGACCATATTCCTACCAAACACTGGCAGTGAAAGACTAAGAGAGCAAACACTAGAAGAGGAACAACCCCTTCTTGCCCATAATTCTCTCCTGTCAATACCAGAAACTATCTACACTGTTTTTCAAGAAAAAAAAAAAAAATTATGCTTTGACTACATGCAAGATATGTCATAAGGAAGAAAAACACCGAGGTAGTTATGGACAACCAAAAATGGCCCTTTCAAACAACAGAAGGGAAAACAAGCTCAGCTTAGGTAGAGGTGTTACTACATGTAGCCACATACACCACATTCACATACAGGTGTAGATATGGCAGAAAACATGGCAAGTCAAGCACTTGGAGCAGCTTTTTGTAATTTCTTTCCAAGGCTAGTAAATCCTACATAAAGATACAGCCTTCTTGGACTGAAAGTGCACCACAAAACTTCTCTGAATAAAACATTAAAATTTACCTCACATTAGGACCCTGTTCCCTCAGATTACCTTTTGCTCACTTTTTAGCTATTCCATGCTAGTCATATGGCAGGAAATTAGAATCTTTGGAGGAGGCATCAGATAGAAAAGGAAATGATATAGTACTAAAATAAACTTCTGAAGTGTCAAAAAAATGACAGCATTTGAATAAAGAATTGGCTCAAAAACTGAATTAAAATGAAGTTTTAGAGTGAATCTAAGAAACCAAAATAACGCTTAAAAGGAAAAATGTTCATCTATATTTATCCAGGATGCTTGCCAAATTTGTATCCATACACAGGCACACAGAGTACAATTACACCACTGGCAGGCAAAAACTTAAAATGAAGCTGCTGGCAGATATATTTGAACCGGAACACTTCTGCAATAATAGCTCATCCAAGTTTCATTATTTTATAGGTCTTCAGAGGAACTGCAACATTCAGTTTCCAAGAGGGACTCACTCTGTCTGTTCCACTCCACGTGTGAAAAGAACAGCACGCGAAGGAATAATTTGGAGGGAGGGCAAAGGGTAATGAGAAGGAAGAGGAAATGGTTTAAAACAAAATGGGTAAACTTGCAACATTTAAAAACAACAATTCTTGAGCACTCCAGAATGCCAGTGGAAGCATACTTTAGGTCTCTGGTTCTCTGTATGTCCGTGCTGTCTGCATACAATAGATACGAGTAAGAAGTACCTGATTTGAATTCCAATCAAACAGCCACAAAGTCAGTGAAGTAAAACAAACATAATGGTTTTGACCTTTATGACGAAGATCAAAGTCCAGAGTCATCCACTTGCAACAAATTTACACAAAACCCTTCTTGTCTGGAGTTGCTCAAAGTCTAAAGATAATCAGATCACTGAGGCATGGTGACTTACAAATCAAAGCACAGAAACTGAGGGACTGAGGTGAGGGAGGAAGATCAGCAAACACAATACAACATAACTTCTGGTCTGAAATCAAACACTTGGGGACTAGGAGAGCAGAGGAGCTGCAGTTACCTTGTGTGGCTGTTGGATGAGAGGCTCTCCCAGGGCTGCACGCTGCAGCCAGTGACTGCATAGGCTCCTCCGCAGCTCCCATCTAGTTTCATCAGCAAGGCTTTTGCTGCATTCTCAGCTGTCTTCCTGCAGTCATGAGCTCTCTTAAGCATCTGTGTGATGTTTTCATCACCTGTCTGGTCCCCTAGTTTTCAAGCAAAAAGTCTGTTACAGAGCTTTGGGGAAGGTGATAGAAGTTAAAATAAGAATTCTACACACTCTCAGTTTATACAAAAACTATGAAAATACATTACCAGTATATGAGGTAAAACCAAATTCACTTCTGTGGTAAGTGGGCTACCAAGCTGGAATGCACCTCTGTCCGAGTCACAAGCTCCAGCTATTTGCTGTTCCCTGTACATGTCTTAAATGATGTATTATTTTAGCCAGCTTGTCTGTTTGTAAGGGTGTGCACTATGCACTAAGATTAGGCTCAGATGCTCAAATTATTAACACACTGAAAAAGCCTCAGGCTAAATGGTAACTCTCACTCCAATCAGTCCAGTGCTGTTCCACAGTGTGGTTATTTCCAGGGCTTCTTCTCAAAAGCACCTTGACCTCAAGCCTAATGGTTTGTCAGAATACCTTCGTACAGGTTACCTTGCCAGCTGGAAGAATGGTCTTACTGCCTAAAAGCAGCCTTTCAGTGTTTACAGCCATGCATATTAAGCCAAAAGAAAACTAGCACTGGTGTTTACTAATTTGTTATAATTTCCATCTGTGCAGCTGGTAAGACATCCCTTTAGTAGAAGTAGGACTGAAACCACCACTGTCACTACTCCTACAGTCCTCCAGCTGCAGTCAAGTCATTAAAGTATGACACAGAAAATTTACAAACATATTTATAAATTAAAGCTACAATATATTCATATTTTACCAAACAGAATCCAAATATGTTAGAGATTAAAAAAAAAAAAAACCACTTCGCTCTATGTCAGATTTTCATTTCATCCTTGTTTGTCCATATGTTCATCCATACTTCACACTTGCTAAGTGAAGTGCCTGCACTGGAAAGAACATTAATGAGGAAGAAAGGAAGGGTGAATGTTAAGAGCAGTTGGATATGCTCAGATCTAAGCGATGCAACTCCCATGAATTTTCCACTCCACAGATGTTGACTGATCTTCAAACCAAAAATCTGTTATTTTATCTAGGTGTGTTAATCAAATTTCATGGTGAAGTAAAGGTACAAAAACCATACACAACTTCCTCCAAGCTGTGTTATGTAATGGGAAATTTGCACTGTTTCTTTCTCAGGGCTGTAACTGGTAATACCATAATTAAGAGCTGTAGACATACACCTACACAAAAACTAAACTACAGTCTTTCATAAAATGCATGTCAGATGAGCTTCCTCTGTCTTCTTATTTATACTCTTGCTTACGTAAAAATCATATGGAATACTGGGAACATGGCCTTGGTTCCTTGGTTACAACCTGGCCACCAAGGAAGGCCTAGACTCAAAACCACTATAACTGCTTTAAGATTGTTGTGGCTGCTTTCTCCTATCAATGGAAGGAATGGGACTATGACATTCAGATTTAATTTTCATCATGTAAACACGTCTTTCTATCAGAAAAGTGCAGCCAACAGCAATGTCAAGCTCCACACACTTCTGAACTGTACTGTACCTATGATTGTGGCTTGTTCCATTTCTTAGCAAGCAGCATATTAAAAAACAACACTTAGCCACAAGATTAACTAACCACAAAATAAGAGAAATCCAGAACATATGGGCCAATATCCCTGGCAGCAGAGTAAAACAGAAGATAGAACATTTAAAAATTTCAGAGCAAGGGTAAAATTGGGGGGGGGGGTGAAAAATTATAGCTTTTTTATTTTTTATTTGTAATTACTCACTGCTACCATGGTATTGTCTTAATCCTATTTTTTCATGAACCATACTCAGTTTCTTGGGGGTCAGTCTTACTGGTTCAAACATAATCGGCACTTGCAGTTACCACAGCTGTGTGGCCCTAAGCCACGTATGGTCACAAGTATTGTTTAATTATTCCATTCTGTACAGTTGCATGCCTGTAGCAGACTCACCCCTGCTAGGCATCCCCTTGTGATAACATCCGCTGGTGAATTTAAATTGCTCTCTTTTCCTTTCCCCTTGTTTTTGGAGGGTGTAAAATAATTTAATTAGTTAAAAACAAGAAAAAAACAGAGAGCATTCTTAAGTAATGGGTCATGAGATGAGTCATCATTGCAACCAACTGTAACGCTAACTGAAATGCAAAAAAAAAATTTAAATAAAGTGATTCATTGATATCTTACCAACAGAACCAACACCTGCAGCTCTGAACTGCCCAAGAATGAGACTCTGCTCACTTTCTGCCAGTGCCAACAGCAGTTCATATGCCTCTATGCACTGTTCACTGAAAGAGAAAACAAATCACAGAAAACAAAAATAACACAAAATATCACCTGTAATTTAGAGGGGAAGAATACTCGCAAGAGCAACAGCAACAACAACAACAACAAAAGAAGAATGTATGATTCCCTATTACTTGTCCTACAGCAGGGATATTAGATAACATAATACATATATCTTCTATCACAGCCATTCAACATTCTCTCCTTCCTTTTGACAGTGCCAGTTGACCTCAAGTACTGTAACAAGATAAAAGGGAAGAGAATGACCTGATGTGAAGGAAGTTCTAGAAGCGTGTTTGAAACACCAATACAAATGGTGATCAACAGGATCCCTTTGAGAAATTATACAAAATACAGTATTCTATACTTTACAAAATAATTGCAGTACACAGACTGTAGTAAGAAGTAAAGAAGATAAATGAAAAATACTTCTTGATCTGTCCTGGCTGTAAGATTTTTCTTTCTTACAACAAAACAGTTTCCAACTACAGTTGTGAGTCAGTCACTCATTCATGTTGCATTCTAATAGTTTTTGTTAAAAAACATATACTAGTACACCCACTTCCAATTTACATCTCCTTGTAATTTGCTCAAGGCAGATGGTAAGAAAACACATTTTTTCAAAGGCACACAATTTGTCTTAGGACAAGAACTGCTTGTTTCAAATTAGTTGTAACTGAAGGTGTTAAATGACACCACCTTTTACATACAGTTTGAAGCAAATTTAGATACTTATTACCAAATACTAAGCATTTAATTAATCAACAATTCCAACTGATGCAATACAAAGTCATTCTGAATTATGTGAAGTACAATACTTTGGCCCACAACACAGTTTGGCCCACTGGTTTGGTGAAAGGTGCCTAATACAGAGAACCTGTATCTTAAGACCATATTCAGCAGAGATAGTCTGAGCCTACACACAATCCCTAATTCAAATGTTAATTCAGTATTTAAAAATGAAGAGACAAATCTGTATATTTGTTTTAGATGCTGGAGAACTAGACTTGAAATACAGTGTATCAGTAACTTCAGTTCAGTAGTCTGACAAGTAGTTTAACCAAAGGGACTTTTTTTCAGGAAGAAACAAAGACAGTATTACTATGGCACACTAACAACTTCACTCTCAAAAGCTTCTGTTAAGTTTCGCCTTGGCTCCCTCTTTTTCTGAGATACCCTCTGTGTAGGCACATACCTGTACTGCAATGCCAGCCTGAGGGCCGTGGCATTGGACTCGTACTTCCCAACAAGCATGCTCATCCTCTCAGCATTGCTCTTGCACTCTTCCAGTGTTATTGTCAGTAAGTCATTCTGGGATTTCAAGTGTTCAATACGGCTGTAGAAAAAGAAGTAATTTGCAACCGTCAAGCTTAACTTGCAGTCATTGCTCTGAAAATTCTGGAACAACCATAATTTAAAACAACAAAAATCATTTGGTATACAGATTTCCTTTTTTTTTTTTTTTTTTTAAAGGAAGATGGCAAACTCTATCAGTTCTGTATCCCTTTATCAAGAGCCAAGAGGACAGAAATTTCTCTTAGTACAGCCTCTTCTTCTTCTCACCTTCCCATAAAGCATAATCACAACCCTGTGCAACAGCAGCAAGCAGAAAGTTATACCCTATTTTGTTAGGGTAAAAGACTGCATAGGACAGTTTCATATTAACCTTTTGCTCAATTCTTCTGCCTCAAGTCCTCACTTCCTGCTGCCACATTTGCTTCTTGTTTCAAGTGGCATATTCACTAGTGCAATTGGGGAGGTGTATAGGGATCACACAGTTGCATAAATGCCTCCTTTCTCTGGAAAATCCAGAATAACCACCTGAAGTCATGGTTTGGTTGTGATTAGAAAGGGAACTTCCAAACCATGAATGAGGTTTCAGTGAGGCAATGTAATCTCCAAATGTTCTGGCAACAGTCGAACAAAAGCTACATAGTAATACTCTTCTCAATAAGGTTAACTCTGAACATGAAAATGAAGCTTCAGAATATAATTACTGTTTATTCTCTGTGCTGATAACTGCACTACACATCTGTACTGTGCCTAAATGTAAAAGGTGGACATATGCCAAAAACAGGCAAAAAATTTCAAAAAATGAAGAAATCAGTGCCATCCTGGACTCTAAAACCACTGTCTTCCTAATAAAGAAGAATGAGAATGGCTAGTATACCCTTTATTCAGTGATCAGAATAAAGTCCTGATTCTCAGATGCTTCACTTTCTGTATCTTCTTTTGACACCTTCTGTAAGTATACATGCTGTCAAAGCACAATCGTGCAGTGTACAGAAAGAGAAAAAAATAAGAAGGAAACAAAGATCACATTTTGCAACACTACAAAAACATGAGCTATAAATAAAAGAGATATTGTACTGATCAGACTAAATTTGAGCTATCTGTGGGGAAGCAAGAACTTGGACTGAAACACGCTGAGACACGATTCTCAAGTTTCTGATCCACAGTTTTGACTTTTATGTGCCAAAAAAAGACATGAAGCACTGGTTTTGATAGAGCATATTGAATGATAACACTAGCAATATTTTAAGAAAACCAGAAAGCTGCAATCATTCTTCTGCAGACAGAAATCTATTTACTGGTATATATGCCACACCACCACACGAATACATTTATGGATACAGTTAATGCAAGTATTCTGTTTCTTCAGGACAAAACAAAGCACGCTAATTCCAGAATGATGGAAACTATGTTATGGGAATCCCTATGTCTATCAATGATGAATCTTATGAAAAAAAGATGCCATGACTATTTGGTTACCCACAGAGAAGGACACTCTACAGTACAAACTGTCACAGGTGAAGGTGCTGTGCTGATCTAATAACAAACAACCAAACTGTCCTACTCATGGAAAGAATCCTTTGCATATGTTTCAATTTTCTCTTCAGCACCTACATTCTACGTTTATCTGCAACTGCCACTGTTGAGCCTGGATTGAACTAAGAAATGTTCAAAAAGGATAAAAATGTAGTAACTTTAACAAAGCTAAGAGAAGGCAACACATGTGAGCATTACCTAACTTTCCACCTTACCTATTTAATCTCTCTGTCTCCACTTCAAACTCTCGAATTTTACTTTCAGAGATAGCAGATCCATGTGAATAGAGAGTCTGGAAGATTTCCTGGATGTTTGAGCAGTCTTGGAGGGAATGTGCCAAATGTTCAGCCACAGTACTAGACACCTGCACAGGGCAGTTAATAGATTATTGTGAATAGATAACCACTGGATTTCTCCCAAAAGCACTCTGCATTGAGAACTGCATTTGCTCACATGCGCTCTCTTCAAGGCATTCATTATTCAGGTTTTGTTATGAATTTTACATTGAATAGAATATTTACAAGATTCCACTTTTAGAAGCCATTTTGTTTTAAAATTCTACTAACCAAAGGTGAAGGCCACTATTTCATCATACATTTAAAAAGCCTGCTATGCAAGTTATTTATGTTCTTGAAAGCTTAACAAAAGGCTAGAGTCAAGTTCTTCAGTAAATCAAATATTAACACACAGCAACAGCAGCGTTATTGATTTACATTGGCATTTCAAAGCAGAACCCAGTTCAATATTGAAAGTTGTGAAATGCAACTGGAGAGTCATCTTGAAAAATATTTTGGAGGAAATTACTCCAAAATTTTCCTCTTGAAATCTCTCAGAGAACAATTTCTAGACACCAGTTATGAGAAAATGAGATCTTAATACTGGGTGAAATATTCTTTGTTGAAATATTGTTGAAATAGTTCTAAATAACTTTTAAAGTATTTTCAGTTAGTCCATATATTAATTTATTAAGAAAGCAATGCTGCTTTTATTGGAACACAGGTCATCTTCAGAAGGTATCATGAATGCACATAATTATTAGTCCTTACCCCTATGCTGCTGATTTCTGATCCTAAGACAGGTCTGTCAGATGATGAAGACTCTGATCTTGTTTTCGACAGCTTCACTCTTTCAGCAATCTGTAAGTCAGAATGTTGCATGGGTTACATGGCAATAAAGTTCATGAAGTTTACACAAAACACATCTGTGCTCTAGCAACACTTGTAAAACTGAAGTAAACTACTATAAAATCAACCCTGTGGTGTAACTGAGAGAACTACAATCATTAACACTTAATTCCTTCCCAGAGTTCAAGTTCACGGACCGGCTTAGAAAACCTTGTGGGCATTCTAGACACCTCCCAGTTAATCCTGCACAGAGTAAAACGAGGCCTGCTTTCCCCAGATAATGAGAAGGATTACTGAAACACACAAGAGCTCACCTTGGCAATGGGAATGTCATTGCTGCTGCTGCTGGTGCTCAGCTCTCCCGTGCTGGGGTTGATGGGTCGATTGGCAGAAGTGAGACGGCTGGGGCTGGACGGGCCCGTTGCCTGCACACTCTGCAAACGTGTCTGCAGCTCCCGAACCTACAGAAAAACTCAGCATTCTTATTCTCCCACGTATATGTTTTAAATAGTTTGAAGATTTTTCTCATTGTGTAACCAAGTTTAATTGCTCCTGACTTCAGCAAAGAAGTTATATTTTTGTACCGTGGTGGTTGTGAAGTTTTCATGTGAGGAGCAGATGAGTGGATGTTATTTTAAAATTCTATTGTTTTCAGTTTTTTAAAACTATTTGCAATGTGGAAATACGCAAATATAATACTGTAAAGCAGTTATTCAAAGTTTCAGCTTGTTTTATATAACCCCTTCAGTACAGCTGTACTGTATGTATAGAAATTATTCTCTCTGGGGCAAAACTAATGCTCCAGCCTAAGATAATGATGCCTAAACAAATCCAATGACAATCCTGCTGGTAATGGAAAACTCCAGTTGAAAAAACCCCTCTTGACATCAATAAATCAGAGGACGACCTTGTCATATTTAAAGGTTAAAGACATTCAAACATTAATCACGCTTTAAAAAGTACAGTTAAGTAAAGCTACCATATAATGAATAATGTACAAAAGAACCCCAGCAAAGTACCCAACCAACAGCCTGCAGAAGCTCTTTGTAAACACACACTGCAAACATTGCATGGTCCTCAGAACACATCAGATACTTGCAGAACTGATGTCAAAAGATTTTCAGTACTGGAAGGTTGGGGAAAAAAAAAAAAGAAATGTCTGCAGGAGCCAAACTATAGCTGAGCTAAAGATTATAGTGTTTACATTGGAATAATTCTTAACAGACAAAGAATAAATGGTCTGCTTAACACAACAATTATGCCACAAAGTAAAGTGACAGAGCTCATTTTTCCCACAAATCTCAAAAACAGAGCGTGAGATGAAAGAAGGGGCAGGAAACTATCTGAAGAGGAAATTCCCCTGAAAACAGAGTTTTCCTTCAATATGCAGGTTTCTGTGCTGATTTTGATGGAACAGTTCCTCTGCAAAACAGAACTGGTGAAATTTCAACGTTAAACAAATAAAATAAAAGTTCAGACCATTTGATGTATCCCCCTGGACATAGAATGAAATGCAACTTTGATTCCTACTGTGTAAAACAAGGTGGAATTTTATACTAAATACAATACATTTATACAAAGAAATTATTAAGGAAGCAAAAATCCCTCAAAAAATATGAAAGTGCCCTTAAAGCTTGGGCTTTCTTCAGCTGTAAGTGCACATGGTGCACATGCTTCAACTCTGCTTGAAGCATCAGCAGTTGTGTATTCTCTGCACAACATAAACAGATCTCTACAACCTACTGCAGTGAGGAAAGAGTTAAAGTTGGAACACTCTCGAGTCACCAAACCAGTATCTCATACCTCCTACAATCCCCTACCCTCTGCTTCTACTCCCTCAAGAGTATCCCTGCCTCTCTCCCTCTGTTGTATGCAAACTGAAGGTTAGACTGCCTGAGTACTTACTGTCAAAAGAAACTCTAGGTATTTGCAAATTAAAAAAAAATAAGAAAAAGAAAAAAACCTGTGTGTTTTACCTAACAATGCAAGAACTGTATGCTGCTAATAAAAAGCTGTAGGTGGCAAGAACAAAAGCACGAGCACACAAAGCCTAACTTCACTCATAAGTTCCCTATTCAGTTTTGGAGGAGTGCTACACCTTGAACAATATGAATGCAAACAAATGAAGTACACAAAACCTAAGAACAAATCCCCAGTGTTTAAAGTAACTTGCTGAAAAATGGATATGGGTGCTTGACCCAGAATTATAAATCTTAGCTGCAGTTATATCATGAATATAACTGAGCAGTGTATAAAGTGCATATTTATAGCAGGTGTCTTCTACATATTTGCAGCTGAGGCCTCCTTTGTTCACACAGACATATATAATTTCAACGTGGGTACAGCTGCACTAATGCAAACCTTAAGGACAGAAGTGTTCTACTGATGCAAACCAATCATTTCAGCCTGCTGATATGCATAAAGCTGAAATAAACCATGCATGCACATTTTTGCTTGCAGATATGGAATGTCAGTGCAGATAGGATTTGTACTGTGGCATTAACACTGGGGGAAAAAAAATAGAAAAAGCAACCCCAAAACTTCATTAAATTGAAATTACTATTTATAACTATTTCTTTTAACCCAGGCTGTTCCAAACTAAATTCCACAAGTGCTTAAGCTACAGCACTGTTTATAAGCCAAAAAAAAAAAGAAAGACCACTACAGATGTATTCTTTGTAAAATCAGATTCTTATCTCAATATCTGATTTAAAAATTGCTACAATATTCACCTATGCCCAGAAGCTAGTCCTGAACAATTTCAGTCCAAAAGTAAATAACATTCTAAATTAAAGTGCAATCAGGAAAGAGTGTGTTGAAGTTGTTTAAATGTTGTGTTCATAGACTCTGAACTTTAAAACTAACTTGTGTAAAGACAGTATTGTACAAAAATTTAATGCAGATAGATTTCCTTTAGTCTACGTTTTATTAGTGAGCAGCAACTATTGGCCATCATTACAAAGCCAGTTATTCTTAAGCATCTGTAAAACAGTAATAACAGGAAGAAAAATGAACACAGCTAAGGCAACATGCAAAGATTTCTCAGGAAAGCATTTCTAAAAGAGAACTCAGAGCACAGCACAGTCATTCATCTATGCAACTCGCTGCTTCAATATCGTATCATAGAAGCAACCACAGCTTAAAGAAGCTGCCTGCTCATCTATACTTCTTGACGTGTTTATTCAGGCCCCTATTTCTGAAATTACATGCTGAATTGATTGCTATAAATAACTGCACTAACTTTAGCAATGCTAAGTACTGGATAGAAATTCTGAGCGGAATAACAAGGCAAGATTGACCTGTGAAATCACGAATCTCAGAATTCACACATTCACCAAGCCAGAGTCTCATGATTGTATTGCCCACCCACCACACTGCCCAGAGACACCTTAAATAACTATTTCTGGTCACTAGAACCTCCCCTGTAAATAGATGCAGCATCTCCTTAGAAAGTACTTTTCCACACTCATAGCAATTCTAAAGGAAAAATAAAAAAATACCAAAGAACAGGATTAAAAAAAAAACAAACAAACACCAAAAAACCCCAGAGTTCAGAAGAGCCAATCTCTTCACTGGATTGGTGAACACATGAGTTATGAAAATACTAGTTTTAAAAGCATGATTAAAAATTGTCTGATCCTCCATACTCCATACTTCTAACACTCTTTAGTGTCATTACCAATATGATAGTAATTATTCTGAAGATTATGCTAATTAGTAGAATGAAGGTACCTGCAGTACTGCACACGAGCATAATGAACACTTGAAAATGAGAAAAGGGAATATCTTACATGAAATAGATGGCAAAATTAGCAAAATCCAATGGGTAAAGACAAGTATAGAAACAAACCCAAAGAAGTTCCTCTGAAAGACAGGAAAAGTGTGGATTTGTGAGTCAGGGAGGAATAACAAGGAAGGATTTAAAGAAAAATTTCTGGAGTCCTTGCATTATATTAGTTTAAAGTATGGAAATTGCCATTGACTCTCAAAGCTCTAAATTGAGATGGAAAGTGACAGACAGACAGATCTAATTATATGATCAAAGAAAAAAAAGGAGTAGAGAATGGAGAGGAAAAGGAGAAATCCATGGAAACATCTGTGAAATTCAGAATTAAAAAATGGAAAAGGCAAATATCTTCTAAACAGCTGGAGCAAGTCCAAGGAATTACAGAAGTAAAGAAGTCCTGGAAACTTAGAAAGAGTAGGAGCAGGGGCATTAATTGAGACACAAGGCAACAGAGTCATTATACTTCAGACCAAAGGACAGCCTAGCAACCAAGAGAAGTCAGGTGCAAACAGATGTTCTCAAGTTATTATGAAGATGTAAGTAACTGGAAATTTTATTTATCAATATTTGATGTTTAGCACTGAACCAATTGCTTAGTTGTGTTTTTAACTTTTTTTTCCCTTTGAATGATGAGAACTGGAGTAGAAAATAGGGGAAAATTAAGCATAATTCTTGTGCATACCTTAAGAACTAAATAAAAGGACAGCAAGGGTAAACAAGAAAAGGGGCTGACACATTCCAGCAATGCTGGATTTATGAAAGACTTCATAAGTTATTAACAGGCATCACAGACATATTTGCAGAAATGCATCATGGTTATAGAAAAATACTTCAGTGAAATATTGTCATTATCTGTAATCATGAATCTAAGAACATGTTTTCAGTCTTTGTATTTTACACATGCATACTCACAACTACATGATTGATTAACATATCCTAAATAAAAAACCAGAGCTACAAACTGCCTGCTTTTGTCACTGATTTCCACATTCAAAGGACACCTGCTCCTTTTGTTTCTAAGCCAGTTTCAAATGACATGCCTGTGATTCTTTTCCTTCTACCCTACTTGTGACCTCTTTCATCATGCAGGATCTTTGAACCCTTCAAGTAATAGCACTATTCCCCCCCAGCATTTTAATACTACTTCATTTTTTTTCCCTGTTATATGGAGGAGAAAGACGAAGTACAACAAACTACAGGACATGAACCTCTCCCCACTTTCTAAATTACTCACGCATACTGAAAATCCGTGGAGGGAAAGATGTCAAACAAAACATCAGTGTAACAATTCAAGCTGTTGTGAGTGGTGATGGCCCTTCCCAGCCAAAAGCACCCCTAATCATAGAATCATAGAATCATAGAACAGATTGGGTTGGAAAAGACCTCCAAGATCATCAAGTCCAACCCCTGATCCAACTCTAATTACTATATCATGGCACTAAGGGCCATGTCCAATCTCTTTTTAAAAACTTCCAGGGATGGTGAATCCACCACCTCTCTGGGCAGGCCGTTCCAATGCCTGATCACCCTCTCTGTAAAGAATTTCTTCCTAACATCTAACCTAAACTTCCCCTGGCAGAGCTTGAGCCCATGTCCCCTTGTCCTGTTGTTGGTTGCCTGGGAGAAGAGACCAACCCCCACCTGGCTATAACTTCCCTTCAGGTAGTTGAAGAG